CCAGGGATTTGCACTGCTTACCACCTAAATAGCTAACCACAATCCATACCGCTATCTCCAAATCATCGCTCTTTCCTCATTCCACCGGGCTATCGATATCGCTCTTAATATCGCACACTCTCGCGTCTCTTTCGTCTTCCGTCCTCATTCCTACTCCCACCAACATGAAGGCACTGCTGTCGACTTTGAGATCTCACTTCTACCCGCTTATCGTGTCGCCGATGCCAACGTTTATCATCACCTCGTTGTACAACGACCCACATGTTGCTTTCCTTCACATACATAACGCTCTTTCGCTCCTCGACACGTACCTTCTTGCCGGCTGGGCTCCGCAGCTCGAGGACGACATCCCAGCCAATCAACAAGAGCTAGAGGATGCGCGAGACACTTGGCTTTCAGAGGGACTTCTCGCGTTAGGTGTTTATATGGAAGCTGTAATTTCTGGTGGGAACGGAGCCACAAAACAGGATAACGGTCAGCCAGGTCCTTACGCTCGTGATACTGCGCTGACTCCACACTTTTTAGACAAGATGCGAGAGTGTTCCCTGGTGATCCTCCGTCTGCTTGTCGGTCTGACCCATTCGGACAAGGTCTGGTGCGCCAGGTTGACAAAAAACGAATTTTGTTTTGGGTTCTTTCTGAGGGCTATTCTGCGAGGGCATTCTGCGAGGCTTGGCAAAGTCAAGAAAGAATTTGAAGCACATGAGGTAAAGCCGGAGTCGTCGAATGGGAACGGTCGAGCACATGGAAAGCATATTGGGAAGAGGCCCGTGAAAGTCGAGGACTCTGATGAAGAGTCTGACGCGGCTAGGAAAACCGACAGCGCAGAAGACGCGCTCGATACACTGTGTCTAGCCCTCGGGCTCTTGACAAATCTGATCCAAGTGGATGATGAGGTCAAGAATACCCTCCGTGAGACCTGTGCGTGCCCTATTGAATTATCTATCTTGCCCACAATTCGTCCATTGATGCTCCATCAGACGTATCTCCGCACTGCTCCCTCCCGAAATGCCTCACCGCCTGCAAATGCGTGCAACAACTCAATGCACTCGAGGCTTTGGCACACGTTTATCAGGAGCTTCTCCCTATCCCTTCTGTGCCAAACGTTAAACGCGAGTCCTCGCCAGAGCCCGCGGATCCGAGCGTCCTCTTGGCTGCCGAAGAGTCTAAGCTCCTCCTCTCGCACCTGTCCCTCCTCTTTGGCCTCCTTATGCTCGGTAATGCGGAGAACCAGGCCGCCGTGCTGGCTCTCCTGCCCTTACCTGTGTCGTCGGCCTCACCGTACGACGGGGACAGCGCCAAGGTCGACGTGCTAGTCAGGCAGGCACGGGAGTTTGTTTACATCTACTCCGAGGCGGAGGACATCGATGCCGCCAAGGAAGGGGAAAGTGTAAAGACTGTTCTGCGGTTTTTGGAGGGGCTGCGGGAGAGGTAGCGGTGAAATTCCTATTCATGACATGTTACGACTACATATAATCATGGCAATACTTATAATGTAATTATCACCGAGGGGTAAGGCCGCAAGCGGCAGGTGCCGAACCTCTGGGAAATATACACATACAAATAGCGTGAGTGTCGAAAATGCAACATTGAATGAAAATGGACAGCACACCGCGATCGTGCAAGATTTTTTTTAGAGTAGTTGGTCCAACAGCATAAGTCTGGCGACAGCAAGCAGCCAATTGGAGTACGCGGTTTACTAAAGCAATCCGAGGTAGCGAGGATAGCGCAGAGTCGGAAGCGTTGTTCAAGAGCTCTAAAACATCTTTCATCCAAGTGAACAATTGTCGTCTGAGTTGGGACAACAGAACGAGAACTTTCTGTTTCACCGATTCGTGGGGGGTCAGTGAGAGTAAGCGACAAGCAACAATAACGAGTGTTGCCGCCGTCCAACTTTCTTTCCAGTTCCCGGCAATAGACGCGAGACGTTTGTCCAAAACACGAACAATCTGAAGACCAAAATCTTCTTGCGATAGATCGAAGTGGGCCGCGCGATAATGCCCAAGAGGCTGGCCTGAAACCGCAGTCTCTGCTTGCCATGCAGCCTGCTGGAACAGGACATGTACCGCCGGATTAGCGAGGTCGACAACTCCGGAAATGAGCTGGAGCACAATATTGCGCCACTGAAGGCGCACCCCGGCACGGAGATGCCCGAAGTTCTCCCATTCGTGATATGAGAGTTCGTGGGGACACTGGGACTGTTGGGCAATAACATTGTTCGGAGTATGAGACGTGCCAATCGTGGTCCACTTCAGAGACTTGTACGGATCAGGCAAATCGGGAGTGCAGTTGGAGCGAATGTCGATAAGGGGAAATGCAGACGGGAGCCATTCGTCTGCCACCCGGTCCCAAAGTCGATACCTGAGGGGATGGTTCTGGATTATGTCGCTCTCGTCACAGGGAAAGTGATGGCCGCGATAATGGGATTGGAGGAATGACTTTGCTGTTGATGCGATGGTGATTCGTTGCTTGCTATGTGTGGGAGAAAATGATCCTTCAGAACAGGATAGTCCTCCAAGACCAGAGCCAGAGGAGGACCATGTTTTTCCTGTGGCGGCTCGGAGTGGTTTCGGGAAAGGTGATATGTGGTGTCTCGCCAAATACTGAAGGCCTCGGGCACGCACAATTCGAACACGACAAGTCGATTGTGTGTATCCTCTTCAGGAAGCGGCCATTCGAATAGCATTATTGTTATGCTATCAACTTGCCTCTGTTTCGCGCACCGGCTACAGGAGGAGTTGTGAGACTTTTCCCAACAGCCATACCTATCTCTCCGGCTAGTATACTCGCACTCGAGTTGTCCGATTTCTTCGAGGAGTGCTGCATGAATATTGCTCTTCTCCTCAAATTCTCGGATTTTTTCGCTCTTGCGAAGGGATGCTTGGGCATGAATCTTGTCTCGGAGAGCTTGCATGGAGCCGTCGCTGCCGAAATAGCGGGAAGGAAAAGAATCCGGGTGGGGAGCATGGGCAAACACGGAGAGGTGTGGGTATTTGACGCGGGCGTAACGTCCCGTAAGATAGATCTCGATGTTGTGCAGGCGTTGCATCTGACTGAGCTCTGGGAGAAGAAGGGGCTCGAAAGATGTAATGGACAACTCTGGTGGGTAGTCCAAAAGAAGAGGAATGCGCTGAGTTGCAAGTTTGTCGAGAGCAACCCAAAGCTCTAGCGTGAGGAGGAATATACGTGAAAAAAATTCGGGGTTGCGACTTTTAAAAGACGATGCCATGGCATCATAGTTCGCAATGCAGTCGCCGAGCGCCGATAATGTACCCAAGTCAGAAGACGATGACAGCATTTTCTCCTGATCCAGGATACGGAACCAGAGATCAGAGGAAGAGACGCCAAGACTATATGTCACCTTTCTAAGACTGTCCTCTCTCAGCTGTTGCTCGAACGAGGTCCGATCGAAGATTGCGGCGTGGGCACTGAGAAACTGTCCCCGTGCCTTAACGGACTCAAGATACGAAGAGCTACGGGGCAATGTGAACCTCTGTGCTGCATCGACTTCTGTTGGGGCCGCCCAAGTGGATTCTTGAGCTTCGAGAGCCTGTACGTACTCCCAGCGGTGGCGGAGGCCTCTCTCGACAGAGCTGATGACCTGGGAAATGTAATCGACGGGGAAAGAGGAGCAGGTGGGTAGGAAACCTGACCGAAGCTTCCACATGCGATTGGCGATTTTGGCGTTCATAATAAACAGAATATTGTGGCTCGGATTCGGGGAGGAACATGCCATTTCGAGCGTTCTCGCCAAAACAAAGGTTATGAAGACTTTATAACCATACTCTTCAGGTAAAGTCCACCCCGCGAGGGTGGTCTGCAATGCGACGCAAATAAGGAGCCACTTCAGCGAACGTCGCCACGGTTGGAGAGCGGATTTCCAGAGAACATAGTCGTTTATCCGTTTGGTCACATAGACCGTGCTCGAAGCAATTCGGTCGACGTTTTCGACAGGGGTCAGAGCACGAGTAATGCCACCTACGAGTTCCGATATATAGCGAATATCAGGAACATCCCGGGTTTCGTCTTGCTCTTTCCCAGCTTTAACGGTCTTGGGGACCGAATCAGGCATTGGAGTGCAAGCAAGGTCCGCCAACAACGCAGAGAAAGACTTGATGCAGGCGGCGTTGAGTGGGATAGAGCGAGCTGCTGCGACGGGGCCCAAAGGGGTATTGAACGCATAGCTTCCCCTTGGTCCCTATAACCAAAGGGGCAGAAGGGGATGCCTGAAAAAACTCGACCAGGATCATATCCTCTCTTCTACGCAAGATTACTCCCGCATTTTGAGAATGGATGTGGAAACACAATACATCTGGTGTCGGAAATCAGGTCAGATTGGCGATTAATTCAGATCAAAGGCACTTGCCATGCAATCACATCCCATTGATGACCTGCTGTATATGTTCCTTGGATAGGTTTCCAGAGCCATGGATGTCCGCGAAGTTATCGAGGGTCCTTTGAAGCAAACCCCAATAATTTTGAACCACATTGTCAACGTTATTGTGCCGCAATCCTTGGCAAAATGTCTTGACGCAATTCGCTATATGTTTGAGCAGTGTTTGTTCCAATTCCACATCGGTGTCAGCGCTTTGAGGTAGCTTTGGGGGTAGAAAAAGGTGGTTTATAGCATAGTCCAGTTGTTGGTCCATTCTAAGTGACAGTAAATGTGAAAGACCTTTCATGAAAATCTGGAGGCCTTACTTGAAGACTCCGAGTTTTGTAGAGGTGAGTCGGCGACTCGGCGTTACAACAAGGATCTGCAGGCTGCAGCTGCCCCTCCTGATAAAGTGCTGAGTGCTTAACGTTTAACGCCTCCTTGTGTGGCCACCTTAATCAAACCTCGACGCGTCGGTTTAGGATGTTACAGGGTCGGAGGCACCCCCTTTTCCACAAAGATGAGTTGTTGAAAGGAATAGCTATAAGAGGCAGGAAGGAATTGGACGGTTAAATGTCACATTCCTATGAGTCACTACTAAAATAAATGCCGCCAGTTGTTCATCTGCCCCCTGGCCCAGCTGGTTAAGGCGCACGACTGTTAATGTCCCGTGATGTAACTTAACATCACGTGAGTGATCGTGAGATCGTGAGTTCGAGCCTCACGGGGGCAGTATATTTTGTCTGCGCTCTATTCATTTTGGGTGGAGCGAGAAAGGGAAGTGCATGCTTCCGGCCCACCCTGATTTTTTGGGAGAATTTCCCGTGAAATATACCTGAGCTTCCCCAGAAAAGGCCTTACGCACGCCCTTAACTAGGCGGGCAGGACTCGGTAGGTAATTATCACTAACAACTAGCGATTATGTTTGTATTCTCACAGGAAGGAAAGGATTTCGAATAGAGGCATGATAATGAAGTTTTATTCGAATTCGAGACTTTCCTGATTTGCTACGACATACAGAACTACCAAGTGCATAAGGTATATGTAGTACACGGTATCATTACATGCTCATCATCTCCAACTATTAATAGATCCAGACGCTCGAATGGGTGAGTGGGGTGGAGAGTAGGACGAATTTCGACTGAGATATTGGGGCTGCTGTGTAGATGTACCCGTAAAGTACTGCGATTGCGAAGCAGCGAGACCTGGGGTCGGCGCTGGCTCTGGTAGGAAGAGTGGTACAGTGGGGATGAGCTCAAACACGTGTTGCGCAACAGCCCGTGAAGGGCGAGCTCCAGGCTGCATCGGGTCCACGCCGTTCATCACGGCGTGCACCTGCGCCTCTTGCACAGTGGGCTCTCCGTCGGGAGCCGGCGTTGCCACAATGGTCGAGGTAACGCCTCGGCCGTCCCAGAGGCAGCGAATGTCATTGCCCGGTATAATTTGCACCAAGCGGCCAGTCTCAATATTTCGAATCTCGATGAACCGAGGGTCGAAGAGGAGAATGTAGGGCTGGTGGAGGGCGACCTTCTCGGCGTTGCCTTCCCATTCGATGGTAGTCCCGTTACGTCGAGGTTCTCCGTGCCGGTCAACGTATACGCCGAATTCTAAGCACCACGTTAGCCAGATAAAAAAAGCCTGTGCACTTGAAAACGTACCGTTGTAGCACAAAAGGAATCCGTCTTCGTTCGTGCGGAACATTCCTATGGGACGACAAGCATCACACCGTTTGGATAATGGCGCAAGCCGTGCTTCATCTCGCAGCGGAATGGTCACACTTTTGAAACTGTAAAACGCCGTCAGCAGAGTATTAACGCCGCGTGTTGGTCAACCCACTCGTTCAAATCCATAATCTCAAAACCCTTGGTGCAAAGGATCACAATCTTCGCCTTGAGGAAGTACAGATCAAAGGATTCAGATGGCAAGAAAAAGTCCTGTCGAGGACAAATCAGTCATTGCTGAAGCCCCAGAACGTCACCGACCCTGTAAATCCTGAACCATTCCGATTTGGTAGATCGGAAGCCGAGACGCGAGCCCAGGCCGGCGGGTGCCTTGACTTTTTCGTTGATTTTATCGCCCACAGGCTCAAGGACACGGAAAATGCTATCCAGCTAGGAAAATGATAAGCAAATGGCACGGCCAAGGCTGCAAGGGTGTACGCACCCCCTTCTTCTTCATATAGATAACTAGCGTACGGTTGTGAAGGGTCCCGACGCTGAAGAAGTGGACGTCCTTCGTCCCATTTAGCTTTTGCGGCACTTGCGATGCGCTGGTGGCCTGCGGGGAAGACGGCACCAAAGCCTCAATGTGATAAGCGAACAACGACTGCGCACGCCGCACACGTTAGACACTGTTCGTTGAGGCCATAATCCAACCACGCACCTTGTCCGCCAAAACAAGGAAGATGCCGAATTCATCAAGCATCGCACACTGCGTCACCATTTTCAGGTGAAGGACGCGGCGCATAGCTGCGAATCGATCAACGCAAGAAGAGAAGACGAAAACGCAGGCTTACACCTCGGGTCGTGGCGGAAGCCAATCCACACGCCTTCTGCGCATCCAATGGCAACCAAGCCGCGTCCGTCAGAGGTATCTGTAGTGTCATGAGTATTGACTCCTCCATCCCGCCAACGAATAACGCACTGAAAGGCACGGAGCAAGTGACTTTGCCCGTATAGGACGTATCCTGATTCCAGTGCGGTGACGGCGGGCCAACCTGGACCGAAGGGACCAAGAACGTGTCTGCGCTAAGCGTCTCGACCTCAAACACCCGATTAGACTCCTGCACGACCTTGCGGATCCCCATCGCCTCTTCCAACTTCTGCTTCCATTCTGTACGCGCTTGCGCCGACTCGGAAAAGAGTATCTGCGCGCCACCTAAGCGGCCGTTGTGGTGGATCGTCCAGGGATACACGACGCGCGAGTCCCCGGCGCTCTCCGGCGTTGCCGACGCGACTGCGGAGCTGGGATCGTGACGCTCTCCGCCACGCAGATTACGAAGCAAGCCAGCGCCGCGTTGTGTTGGCGGATCAGTGAAGTTCACTAGCGTTAGTAGATCTAAGGGAATTGGCTGGACGCGTCGCGTATAAGCACAAGTTGGACTATCAACCAATGACTTACCCGTCGGTTGACGTGGTACTTGGTGACCCCGTCCTTCTCCTTGGGCTTGGTCATTACCACTGCAATAAATTCGTTGGGTTGTTTATATCGCAGCCGTAGACCCGCTCACCGTAATTATCAAACAGCACCACAAACAGTTCGCTCCATCCGCTCCACTCCAGCGACGGAATGGTATTATCAGGCTGGCGAAGAACCTTGCCCGCATGGATCAAAGACCGGTTCGCGTCGAGAAGGTCCATGTCCTGCACGTCACGCATGAGCACCATATTCGGACACAATCAACTAACCAAGACACGCACGATGGCCTCTCCGGGTTTAAACACCAGGTTGGAGTTGTACCTCCAAAGCTCGACCTTTTGTTTAGCCGAAACGACCCCGGGCTCGGTATCCTTCCCAAGGGCCTTGATCACCTCCAGCACCTGCGGGATCTCATTGCGGTCGTCGTGGTTCTGCGGCGTCTCGTCGAGGATGCCCTTCAGCAGCAGTTCATACCGAAGCAGCCTCGGGATCGGCCGATTGATAAAGCTTTTCATGTCGAGCCGATGCGCGTCGGGATGCCGCACACATTGCTGCGATCCACATTCAACACCGAACCAAGGTGTCTGAAACCAAACCGACGACACACCTCCACAAAGTTCTTAAAGTCAAGGTTGTTGGCCATCTCGTCGTCTATCCGATACGCCGCAATCGGGTAGTTGGGGATGTACTCCATGTACACGTCGCGGAAGTTGAGCGCCGCGTCAAACATCGCTGCGGTAACGCTCCGGATGGTCGGGTGCTGTTCGCGTTGGATCTCGTGGAACTTCTCTACGAGCCGGAGGTGGTGTGTGTGCAGGTCAGCGAAATTATGGAACACGTCCGTGATGAACTGTTCCAGCCGTTCCGCTGCCATGATCGGCGGCTTCGCCGCGCGCAGCGGGTCGATGTACATCTAAAAAATGGTAAGGTCAGTCCTACACGCGTTTATAATAAACCAAAGCCTGCATTTTGTATATTCTCCAAATCCTTGACGTACGCCATCTCGCCCTTGATCAGCTCGAATATGATCCTGAAAGAAAGCGATTAATGATTGATCGTCCTCGCACCCAATACGAGGGAAGGAACTCACGACTGGCGCTTCTGCTCCTCCTTCGGCAACGCCTTCCGCACATCCTCCGCCACAAGGTCGTGCCACTCCCACTTACCCGGCGTACCCTTCCCCATGGCGGCCTGGAACGTGCGCAGCTGCGCGACGCTCTGCAGGTTGCGAATCGCACCAACAGCCTCCATGAGGTAATCCGCGTCCGGGTTCCCCTCCGCCGTCTCGTGGAAAATCGCCTCGAGCAGCACGGGGTACTTTTGCAGGTGCTCCGCCGGCCGGTTCAGGAAGTGCTTGAGGTCGAGGCGCATCGCGTCGCCCGAGCGGGTCGATTGTCGCGAGCAGTGCTAAGATAGAACAGCGTCAGCTCATCGTGTAAGTAATAAATGGATAGATAGCGCACCTCGAGGAACAGCCGGAACTCTGGGTTCGTGTCCATCTCCTCTTTCAGGTGCTTCTCCGCCAGCGGATGGTGCCCTATATAGATGGGATACGCGAGCCTGAACTCCGTCGCAGCTGAGAGAAAGACATCGCCTGCACGCCGGTTAATTCACTTGTCACTGGGACGGACGGACGTAAAACGAACCAATGCGCTGAATAACAGGCGCCTGCTCGCGCTGCCGGACGTACATGACCTCGAGCAGCCGCCGGTTACATTCCCTCAGGTCGAGGATATTGCCAAACACGTCGTCGATAAAGTCCTCCAGCCGCTCGAGTGGAATCACAGGCGGGTTCGCCGCTCGCAGCGGCTTAAGGAAAACGGTCTCGACAGTGTCGAGGTCCTGCACGTACTGGGATTCCTTGCTGATGAGCTTGTGGATGATTCTGCGCAACGAAAGTAAGACATATGCGAGAGAGGGGTGGACTGGGTACGCACGTCTGGCGATGGATCTCGCTCTCGGGGAGCTGCGTGAGCACCTCCTTGGGAACGGTATGCGACCAGTCCTCGCGCAAGGGGATCGTGGGGCTCTCTGCAGGCCCCGGAGTCGCAGCGGCGAATGAGTTGCCCTACAGAACGTAAGATACAGATAGAGGGAACCGGAAGCCACGCACCCTCCTCGGACACCCATACGAGTAGCACGGCGCCTCATCCCCACAGCTCGGGGAATAACACTTCGTCAACATCGTCACCACCCCCGTCGGGAGCTCCTCGCGCTCCAGCGCAGCGTCCGACCCGCCCTCCTGGTCGTCCAAGAACATATACACATCCTCCACCCCGTCCTGCAGTACGCGCCCGCCCCACTCGACCTCGCAGAAGAACAGCTGGCTCTGGAGGCTGCGCGCGACCTGCAGCGCCGCGCGGCGGTCGCTCGTCGAGATGCCGTGGTTCACCGCGAGCTCGCGCTGGATCTGCGCCTGGATCGTGCTCACGATGTCCTTGCCCGTGAACGCGCGCGGGTACGGGATGCTGCCCTTGACGTGCGTCCCGCGCGGGACCTTGTCGCGCAGCTGCACCGCGATGTGCGAGAGGAGCGAGAAGTTGACGAAGCGCGTCTCGTCTTCCTCTTCGTCTTCGTCCTCCCAGTACGCCTCGG